CCCCCGCCTCCCCCCCCCCCCCCAGCCACTACTGCTACCTAACTGTCTCCGTGGCTCCCATTCTGTCTGAGTCCCTCTCCTGACTGTCTTCCCTTTCAGGTCATCTGTATGCCTGTGTAAGTGCCTCCCCTAGAACCCTCTGCTATCTGTGGCACAGGGCAGAGGGCTTAGGGGACTTCTGGGAACCAAGATCTTTATGTAAGGCAGATCTGCCCTGTGGAGATGGAGAACATCCTATGCCCAGTGATGTTGGGGAATCTGCTTCACCAGAAAAGGGCCAGAAAGCAGAAGATAACTGACAACAGTCCCCATAGTGACACACCCAAAGAGTCCTGCAGCGGCTCTCCTATGTGGGTCCTCGCCTCCCTTCAATTGACTCTGGAATCTTTTTTCAGCCTGTTGTCACTGGGCTTTTACTCTGGACTCTCCTCAGCTTCCTGGTCCTAGTGGCCTCCATCAAAAGCACTCAGGCAGGATTCACAGTGCAGTGTAGAAGCTATATAGAGTTCATGATAGAGTTTAAGATACATGCATAAGTGGCGAGAGCCAACAGTGGCCAACGGGACCAGTGTGGTGACCTACATAATTAAGTGGACTTCACACTCTTTCTAAAAGATGTCTGGAACAGCTTCCTGAAAAGCATTTTCCTGTCCAAGTGACTACCTGGCCTCTTTGGATTAACTCTTAAGAATTAATGGGACAATGTTGTATCTTTGTTCCAGAGCAATCTCACTAGATAGTTATCTATTGATGACCATTTAGGCAGTTTAGAATGTCATATCTTGGGCTGGGAATGTAGCTCAGTTGATAGAGTGCTTACTTTAACTTTCAAGAGGTTCGATCCCCAGCACCACATAAAATCAGGTGTGATGGTCAGGACAGCTAGGGCTATGTAGAGAGATCCAGTCTCAAAAAATCGAAACCAACAACAAAAAAACAGATGTAACGGTACACACCTTTAATTCCAGCTCGGGGGGGTGGAGACAGGAGGACTAGTTCAAGGTCTGTACCTCACTTTCCTCCAGCATGGCAGGAGTGCCAAGTGGCCTGAGGAACAATCCCTCTAGCATCTCTGCGCTGAGGTGAGAGGAAGTTGCAGAGCCCTGTCTCAGGACTCCCTGAGTCCTGCTGAAGGGAGGATAATGGCTACTCACTCCATCTCCAACCCCATTAATCCTTCACCTGCACCCTCCCAAAGCACCAGAAAAGCTGCCATGGTACAGGCAATGAATCCCTGCTCAGAGCCACACATCAGAAGCCTGGTCCACCACCAGGGTCTCATCTCTTGTAACCATTGGCCCTCAGAATCACCCACCCTTCCCAGAAGACACTTCCGGGAAGGTGATCAGAGGGCCAGGGTTTGCTGCTTTGGCCCCTAAACCTAGGTGGCAAGAGGACAGGCTTTGGGGACACTACACTGTGGGACCGCTAGAACTTGAGTGTGGTGGCCCAGCCTTCCCAGAGATGACAGAACACAGAGTAACAGTAGAAAGAACAGTGGACTGGGAGGAGGCTGGGAACAGCTTGGGGGGCTCCACTGAGCAGACACCAGAGAAATAAACAAAGGCATTTTGGGTCACAGAGCGAGGAGATACAAATAAGATACCCTCCCAGCCTGATCGTGATGGCCCAGCCAGCTCCACATTATCCCACCCTCCAGCCTGGCTGGCAGTCTAGGCCTGTATGCACCCTATGATTCTTTGTAACTAGAAATCCCTCTGCCTCTAGCCAGGCAAAATCTGCATGCAGGGTGTTCTGTTCTTAGCAGAAATTCCTTTCCTTAAGTGAAAAACTTTTGTGGATGCCATTTGTTTCCAAGTTGTGACCCACCCTGTGTCCCTTACCTGGGGATGTACCTCACTGACTTGGCCTTCATCGAGGAGGGGACACCCAATTACACAGAGGACGGCCTGGTCAACTTCTCCAAGATGAGGATGGTATGTTTCCCTGGGTAGATGGGGGCACAATGCCAGACTGAGCTACCCAGACTCTGCCCCAGCACAGCCTGTTCTGCCTGCACCTGTTCCAAGTGTACCCAGTGGAAGGCCTCCAGTAAAAACTATGACACTAATAACATTCCCTGAGTTCCCTACCTTTCACACTTTAGCCCTCCCTACGGGAGGATGGGCAAGGTCAAGAGACCAGCTCAAGGCCCCCAGACGTATAAAAAGAGCCAGTTCTGTATGCTGGGTCTGACCCCAAAGCCCACACAGTTTTCCTCACATCCCACCCGTTAGTGTCCACAGAAACGCTTATCTGGTATGTATTACTAAAGAATGCTCATTCTGCAACAACACCCAAGAAAGCAAGCTTCAAATCTGCTCAAAAAGATCCAGAACTTGGGGTGACCCCTCTGAGTATGCACAGGACTTCTGGACATTCATGTCTCTTGCTCACCCCAACCACAGAGTCTCTATTTGCACCCATTTTGTGAAATGGGTTTACACATGAATAAGAAGCGTACCTTTCAAACATAGACAGGGAAGCTCCATCTTAATAGTGGAGGGAAGAAGCCCTTATACTTCTCATCCTGGCATGCACACATTAGACACCCACAAGCCTTTCACTTTGACTGGCAGCCGGGGGGCATGGGGGCGCGCGCACACACACCACCACACCCACACACACACACACCCCCA